TCTACTGATGATGAATAATTAATATTTTGTGTGATTTATGCTGTTTAAATCATACCTGTAAACTCACATTTCAGCCAGGAAAGTTTTGATGGCATTTTCCTTTCATATTACCTCCATATAATGCCCATAATATCGTAGTGTTTACTTTATGTAACGGCTATATAATTCTGCTGTTCCACAAGCGCCACCTTGTGGCAAAGAGTAAATTTGCATATTCGCTTATATTCACATTTTACGCAGAACAGTGTTGTGAATGTTAACTGGCATATTAACAAGACAAAAAACGAAATTTGACTAATAATTTTTAGGAAGCTTAAAAAAAAGAGGTTTTCTGGGGTCAGGGGGCCTACTGTAATGCTGTAGCCCAGGGGCGCCTTTGGTTATCTTAAGGCGCCCCTGACGATAGCTGATAATTTTGCTGCTCTTGGTAGATTTTGTTGGTCATTATAGAAATAAGCTGGGTGTATCTGTGTTCTTTAATTTGTTCATTGTCAGTATATCATCTGCAGAACTCTGATATTTAATTGGACCGCCTTTAGCTTTGATAACATTATGCTTTCGTTATGGCATTACAACATTTATTTCCATCAAGAGTTGCGTTCATTTTTGGCTGAGATCTTGTATTTAATGGGAGCACTGAACCACTCTGTAAAGTCGAGTCCAGCACATCCTAAAGACTTTCAATAGCGTTAAGGTCAGGACTCTGTGGTGGCCAATTCATACATGAAAATGATTCCTCATGCTCACTGAACCACTATTTCACAAACTGAGCCTGGTGAATCTTGGCATTCTTCAGTATTTGATTATTAAAATGCAAATGGCGACAGTGTTTTTTTTGGGCTAGGCAGGGTACATAATATGTATGCTAAAGACAAATTTAGGCCAACTCAAAAACACATTATTGTTAGGACTTCCCAAATAATAAAAGAGCCCGCATTTTAGAAGAGATACCCTATAGGAACTTCCTGAAGAGCACTCAGCAAACAGTTTTCCTTTGATGACACTGTTTCTTTGTTGTTCTGATTTCATGGTGCCTTTGGTCCACACTTTTATAAAATAGTGCATAAATAAAAGTAATTTTACAGTGTGGGTGGAAAGATGGAGTTTTTAACATTATTTGCAGTTCTAAGTTCTTTTTTGTATCAAATTAGTTTGGTACACACAGCCAAAGTTTGTCCAATGATGCTACTTTCAGATTTAAAGACTAAACTTGATTCTCTTCAGGTAGAATCACTGCTTGAACTAACTGAGCTGCAATAACACTATCTGCTTGTTGAGTCTGACATTATGCATCACTGTTTCCGGGTCCAAGAGCTTTATCAGATCCCAAAAGCAGACTACAAAACATGCTCATCTACACTTACTGTTCGCTGTAATACTTTGAAAACTCAAAAGAAAAAAAAAAGAAAAAAAATCTCCATATCGAAATTTCATTTGGCCAGACAGTGATATTTTGATATTGCCAGATTTAAAGACTAAACTTGATTCTCTTCAGGTAGAATCACTGCTTGAACTAACTGAGCTGCAATAACACTATCTGCTTGTTGAGTCTGACATTATGCATCACTGTTTCCGGGTCCAAGAGCTTTATCAGATCCCAAAAGCAGACTACAAAACATGCTCATCTACACTTACTGTTCGCTGTAATACTTTGAAAACTCAAAAGAAAAAAAAAAGAAAAAAAAAATCTCCATATCAAAATTTCATTTGGCCAGACAGTGATATTTTGATATTGTTTAATTTTATTGCAGGCCTGTTCAACAGCTGGCACTCCTGGAAAAGTAAGACATTTTCCACATTAATATGCATAGGTTGCAAATTTAATAGTGAAAAACCTCCATCTAAGAAACAGAGTGCCATTTGACCAAACTGAAAATATTACACAAGCCCTCAAAACCTGTAGTGCAGATAGCTGAAAATGCTCACAAAAAATCTGGCCATTAGGGAAAGTTAGCGATACTAAATATGTCTTTAGTTTTATTTTTGGCAGGGGCCATTCTATGAAGTACAAAAAAAAAACAACTCAACTATACAGGAAATGTTTCAGCCAAAATATAACCATGCAATTGCGGTGCAATATGGACTTAAAATTCTAAGCAACAATCTCCAAGTCAAAGCAGACAGCATGTCAGCCTTTAATTCAGTTTTTGCGATGTGGCTCAAATAATCCAACTGAAAAACACTCAGCAGCTATAACTGACACTGAGGGAAATTGGATACATGCGGCTGCAAATATTTCTTTAAAAGCCCACAATTGTTTTGGCCCGCTTGAGTAAGACTAAACTTTTCAGACAACAAGGAGAGGTCCTTTCTGGAAACATGCCATCTGCCTTTAAGCCTCCCAAACCGCATAGTCCTTCCCTCAAATTCTCTGTAACACAGTTTATATTTAAAAAACAACCAGGCTGAGTAGCAGTGTCTATCGAGCGTTTCAATAACATTTACAGGCCCTTCCAAAATCTAAAGACATTAACTGAAAGGGACTAAAAGATGCAGGATTTGAATTGGAATGACAAGGGGAATTTACTGAATTTATCAAAGGTAATGGCATTCTGGGAAACAAAGTGTTTAAATATTCTGAATGTATAAGTGCATGCAAAGTGTATATATAAAATGTATAAGGCCTACACATTAAAAAAAAAAAAAAAAAAAAAGATTTTTAATAATTTTAATTAGTTTTAATTCTAATTTAATTAGTTCTAATTTTACAAATATTTATTTTCTAGTTAAAAATTACAGTTATATTCATTCATTTGAATTTAGGTCACATTTATGCGTTCTGTTTGCTGCCTTGATTCAAATTCATAAACCGAATAGGAATTTAAAAGGCATTCACAACTGATTTTGGAACGTTGCACAATCTTGCAGGCGAAGAGAAGTGCAATTTTAACCCTTTTCTGCATGCATTTTTAAACAGAAGACCTAACATATAAACATCAATTAAGAACATCTGGATATTTTAATACATTAAAGATAAAGTTTGTCATGCATGACTATTTGCAGTTGACATTACTGTATCTGCAAACTGTGTCTTATACAAATATTATTATTGATTTGTTTTCTTTAGTGTATTGCAACTGCCAAAAATGCAATAAACTGGCATATGTAGCTGGTAACATTCAGTCCTTTTACATCTTGTTGCCACTCCAGCTATTCAAACAGTTATATCAGAGACATATACAAAGAAATGGCTCTCATCTGCCCAAGAGTTTAAAACACAGATAGAATAATGGTGTAAGGGTAGGCCTAAACAATCGAAACCTCAAAGGGATTAAGATAAACTAATTACTCAGTTCCTGATGGATCCGCTTGGCCTAGATATCGTAACACAGCCCCATCCTGTGTTTGGGCACTGCCAGTTGTGTTAAACATTTCCCCCCATTTCAGGCCAAGCTGCAGCAGGCAAGCCTTGTCTAATGTGCTCCATATGGCAGGCAGCAAAACTAGTGTAACTATGACAGAAGAATCAACACAGCCTTGTTCCTTCTTGGGAAATCTCAGCCATTCACATTGCCTTTGGCAACACACACATGCAAAGGTCAAGGAGGACAGAGCCAGCTTGTTGAGAGAGTAAAATACTGATAAAGCACCCAGTGGCAGTTGTTGCCAAGAAGCTTTCCAATGAACTCCATTAACTTCCCTTAAGCATAAAAATCGCAGAGTACAAAGATTACACCAATTTGTGCAATCCGAGAAAATTGTCCATCAGTCCATTTTATGCAAAAGTTATTCATTCCACAACTTAAAATAACCGAGTATGAAAAAGGCTTTCATGATATATGAATATTATAAAAACAAAGCTGATAAATGAGAGTTGTGTTCTAGCAGTTAGTAGTTGCTAGTGTTAGTACAAATCTAATCCCCCTTGACCAATTATATAAGGATTTATTTATATATATATTGGGCCCAATTTGGACATTTTCACTTAGGGGTGTACTCACTTTTGTGACCAGCGGTTTAGACATTAATGGCTGTGTGTTGAGTTATTTTGAGGGGACAGCAAATTTACACTGTTATACAAGCTGTACACTCACTACTTTACACTGTAGCAAAGTGTCATTTCTTCAGTGTTGTCACATGAAAAGATATAATAAAATATTTAAAAAAAATGTGAGGGGTGTACTCACTTCTGTGAGATACTGTATATATACACACACACACATACAGTTATCCACTATTCACTAGGGGGCAATCTGATTAGTCCCGCAGCTAATCAGGCGACCAATAAAGCTCAACGTGGCTCTGTGAAGCAGCATTTTCTATATATTTACATCAAAGGCAAGTATCGCTCGAGTGAAAATTACACAAACTTGGGGGGCACGTGTCCTAAAAGTTTGAAAACCCCTGATTTAGCTAGTTGCAACTAAACTCTGCAGGATGTTGGCCCTCAAGGAGAAGGACTGGACACCGCAGCTCTACACCATTTCCTGTTATCTCTGTACTTCGAATAAAAAAGGCAAAAAGAAAAACAATAGTGACAAGTGAAAAAAAAAGCATTGTTTTTTACTCACTCGAGGAAGCGGGTGATGTATTCACAGCTGCAGCGTGACCAGTTGGGTGGAGAGGTTCCATACAGGAGCTGTGGAGACATGATGAAAGGTCTTTTCCCAATAGGCTCACAGTCATTGCCGTTCCCATCATGCTGAATCCCAAAGCTGTGGCATAAAAGCAAATCGTACAGAGAGAGAGGGTGAGAAGACACTGCTGGACTGGCTTTCAGCCATATTTCACATTGGCTCAAATGCTGGTAATTCAATCTTAGCATTTACTATAATAGGTAGCAAGACATTGAACCATAGTAAATGCATTCACTATCCTTTCTACTTAACTTGTCTGTGCAAAGTTGTATGAACTCTTTCAACTGTTACAAAGCCAGTAAACCCTAGCTTTTGCACAAAATCTACAAGAATACATCGAGAGGGACATAACAACCCTAAAAATTAACCATGGTTTTATTATAGTAAAAAATGTAGTAACTATGTTTTTTGCCATATTGATTATCATTTGTATAACCACGGTTTCAAATACCATGTTTAAAATATGGTTAATGTAGCAAAACCTTGGTTAATTTGTGGTTACCATTGAGGGTTCCAAGTTGTCTTTTATTTCCTGAAGCAAATTAAAAATAACATGGCTTGGTAAATGATATGTTCGGATAATGTGTTCTTTCCAAATAAATTAAAGGGGTCATATGATGTTGCTAAAAAGAACATTATTTTGTGTATTTGGTGTAATGAAATGTGTTTATGCGGTTTACGGTTAAAAAAACACATTATTTTCCACATACTGTACATTATTGTTTCTCCTCTATACCCCGCCTTTCTGAAACGCGTCGATTTTTACAAAGCTCATCAGTCTGAAAAGCAAGGTGTGCTGTGATTGGCCAGCTATCCAGTGCGTTGTGATTGGCCGAATACCTCAAGCATGTGACGGAAATGTTACGCCCCTACCATATTGTG